GGCCACAAGCCCCGTCCCGGGCAGGAAGCAGCATCTGTGCCTTGCCCGTGTGTTGCGGTCTGGATTGCTGAGGGCTGGGAGGTGCCTGCGGAGCCAGCTCCTGTGGAGCTCCTTCAGGGCTGCGCCGCTGCCGGGCAGGTTGACGGGGCTGGGGGAGACCCCGAGGGGAAAGGGCTGTTGTTCTTTTTTTTCAGCCCTGCGCTGAAACTGCCAGTCCAACTCCGAAAATTAAACACGGACGAAGATTCCTCCCAGACGAAAAGTGCCATGATAAGAGAGCTCTTGCTGTCCATGGCATACCAAGAGTGGCCCACCAACTGCACGAGAGTTGTAGGGTAAGGGCTTTCTTTCCAGTGTGGAACTGCCATCATTCAGTTTTTGTAGCCCTGTGCTGAAAGTGGCAGTCCCATTCCACAAAAATACAGACAGCCAGAGACCTACCTCACAGGCCAACAGAGAGAGCTGGGAGAGTGGCTGTGCCCTTCCTGCTCACCATGCTTCAACTTGTTGCCCAAATTCCCCTGCCACACCCTCACTGAGGCACCATGCCCCTGTCTGCCCGCTCCTGTTGGCCACACTTGTGGTTGCTTGCACTCCCTGGATCAGTTTCCATCACCCAGAAACGACCTCAACTCCAACCCCAGTCAGCTAATTAGGCCTCACAAGGCAGCTGGACTGAGCCGCAGTTTCTCCCTGCAGTTTTAATCTCCCACAATCTACCTCAGCTCCATCCAATGGTCAGCTCATTAGAGCTTGCAGGACAGCTGGGCTGAGCTGGGAGGAGCTCCTCCATGCCGTATAAATCTCCCACAAACAACCTCAGCTCCACCCCTGGTTACCTCATAACGCCTCACAGGGCAGCTGGGCTGAGCTGGTCTGCTCAGATGCCAGGACAGAGAGCTCTTGCTACCCGTGGAGTGCCCAGGCTGGCCCACCAACTGCACCTGAAACCCAAAGGTTACAGGCTTTCTTTCCTGGCTATTCAGAGTGGCCAAGCTCAAGCTCCAAGAACTGACACAGCAGAAGAGCTTATTAAAGCAGTCAGGTTGAGGGGAAGTTGCTGACAACTTACTCGTAAAATAAGGGAGTCAGCAAGAAAACAACACCATTGTAACACTGCTCAAAACTATCTTGTAAAATCATCACAGTGGGTGTATTTATTTTCTCCCCTGCCCCCCTTAAACAGAATAGTCAATTGCTGTTCTCTGGGCATTGAAAGGTGTGAAACAAGCTTTTAAGGGTGCCTAAGCCCTTCTGAGCACCACACTGTGGTTAGTCCAAGAGGGTGCTTCAGACAGCACAACATTTGAACCACCTTCACACAAAATAGGTATCACGTTCAACATCTCTGTGGATGTGCTCTCCAGCTTTCATGAGCAGTGACACAAACTCTGCTAAGCACTGAGTATCTGTTGATAAAGCCCTCAAGATCTGTCAAGAGAATCCTACATGGGTATACAAATGAGAAAAACATTAAGAAATAATCACATAAGTGAGGAAAGTATCATAACAGCTGCAAGTTCCTGATGTAAAGACTCCGGTTCAGTGCCCCCTCCCCTTCTCAAAAACACAGCTCACACACTTCCAACTTTTGTTTAGGTCGTAGGGTTTTGTTTGTTTTTTTATTAAAAGGCAGTTTCCAGATACCTAATCATTACTGTGTTGTTTGTGCAGGACAAAAAACCCCAGCTTTAAATACTCAAATACACAAGTCAAAACAAGCTGTTTCAAACTGCTCAGCAGTGCAGGCTCAAGCACTTATTTGCAATGGCTTTGTACAATCAGTTCTATATAGCGATGACTGTATATAAAGAATATAGTACATACTATTGTTTTCATTGTCAATTTACAAGAGAAAAAAATAAATATCTTCCATTCTTATTATACATTAACACTTCAGTAGAAAGTTACAGCTGTTGTGTTGGCATGACCTGCAATGTCAGGAGGAAAAAGGACATGCATACTTATCTATTAAGAACTCTAAACTATGACTTTGAAATAAATTACAGAGGATAGATACCAGTCAAGAGAATACCGATTATCTGAATTCAGTACATTTGTGATTCTTGCTCCAAGGTAAAAGCCAAAAATCTTGCTAAATACAAAAGCTAGTAGCTTGCATTATGTAAATAAGACAAACCACTTATGGTACAGCCTTTTCTTCAAATGTTTGTGAATAAATAGGCTTGTGGTTTTTTTAGGCAAAAAAGATTAAGTTGTTGAGTTGGTCCTTGCATTCTTCACAC